AGCCCAGCCCTCAGGGACAACCCCAGGAAGCAGGGAGCTGGCCTTGCTGGGGCCTCCCACTCTAACTGTGGACTGTGACCCTTGCCTTGATGCTAGAAAAAGGGTTCTGTAGATCCCTGGGTCCCAGGCCTGCTGTGGAGGATGGGATGTGGGATGGGGACAAAAAAACAGAGTGTAAAGAAACCAAGCTGGGCATGTGGCACACACCTGTAATCCCAGTGAGGCAGGAGGATTGGGAGTTCAAAACCAGCCTCAGAAAAGAGAGTTGCCAAGCAACTCAATGAGATCCTATCTCTAAATAAAAATTACAAAATAGGGCGGGGGGGCGGGGGGGTGGGTGGCTCAGTGGTCAAGTACCCTTGAGTTCAATCCTCAGTACCTGCTCCCACCAAGAAAAGAAAAAAGAAAGAAAGAAAGAAAGATATCAATCAGGAAGGAAAAGGAGAGAAAGAGAATATTGCATACCTATTCAGGGGCCATGCTAACCTCAGTATCTGGTCTGCGTTATCTCCCAGGAAATCTTTGTCTAGCTGGGAGGTGAGCCAAGGTAGTCCCATTGTGCAAAGAGGGGAAACTGGGGCGCATTCCGAGCAGGCTACTTGTAAGGGCTGAAGCAGGAGGTGGGAGGGCTCATTTTGCCTAAGTCCAAAGTACTTTATCATCTCTTGCTAAGGAGTAAATATATCACATTAAAACTGGGGCAGAGCTGGGGGTATAGCTCAGTGATGGAGCACTTTCCTAGCATGCTCCGAGCCTGGATCTGATCACCAGCACTGAGAAAAAAAGAAAAAGAAAAAAAAAAAAAAGAACTGGGACAGCAAAGGGCAGAAGACCATGAAGACCCAAGAAAGACCCAAGTTTGCATTCTGGCTCTGCCATTTCCAAGCTGTGAGTTTATTTTGTAGCTAAACAACATGTGCCAGGACCCCCTTCTCTGCTTTTTCCTGAAGTTTCCCCGTTTTCTATGCCTTCTGTCCTGTGGGATTTTTAATCCTAGTATGTAGTTTATAGCATTGACCAGGAGTCTGTGACTGTCGCCAAATATGCTTAAAAATGAAAATTCAGTTTTAATTGGGTTCGGGTGTAGGACCACATTGGGGGCCCTTCATCGAACTGAATTTGTTGCCTGATTACCATGGTCATGACTTGGTCCCTTCACACAGATCAGTGGAGAGACAGTACATTTATTTGTGTCAACCCTCTAGGGGAAAAATCGCCCTGTGGAAACGTCAGTTCACATTGTGGCCAAAAAGGTACTGTTTTCAAATCCCTGTTCCCCAGCCATTCACAGGTGATGATGATGGGGACCCCCTCAAACAATCAGTTTGGGGGATGTGAGGGATGTGGGGGAGGGAGAGGTTGGGGGAGAAGGTGACCTGATAAGGGTTTATTCTTCCTGAAGCTGATGCACAATCCACAAGTGGCCTCCTGTTAACTGCCACAGCACCGAGGAAACCCCACAAACCTGAGGAGGTTGGGGGCATTTGAGCTGCAGGGTGGGGGATGTGAGAGGTGGGGAGCAGGAAACACTAGGAAGGCCAGGCTGCCGGGACATGCTGAGGGCCGGCTGAGCATGGAGCCAATGCAGGAATAAGCTGGCAAAGTAGATCAGGCCTGAGAGCCAGGGGCCTTCTATGCCATGATGAGAAATTTGGAACTGAAGCTCCCAGCAGCAGGGCAAGAGGAAAGGAGTCTGTCCTGGAAGGTCTGTGAGCAGGGGCGCCCTTTATGAGAGTGAGTTTTAAGCTGAATCCAGGGAGCCAGACCCTTGCTGGTGAGGAGAGAGAATTGAGTGATTGATGGGGAGAGGAGAGACCTCAGGACAGCAAAGGAATGGGTGGGGATTTGGGACCCTGTTGTGGGGGTCAGAAAGCAGGAGCGTGGCTTGATGGAGGATGGCAAGTTTGGTTTGAGACCTGCAGGTCTCCCCAGAACTGGGAGGAGATAGATCATGCCTTGGGAGATGATCAACCTGGAGATGGTGGTTTAGGGTTACCTTCAATTGTAACTCACAGGATGCAATATGGAGGTGACAATTCCCTTAGATGGAGTACCTGAGACCCTTCCCCAGAGTCTGGACTACCTTCGTCTGCTTCCTGAGGGGTGAATGCTACTTCAATTCAAAGCTGGTTCAAATGCCCCTCCTTAGAGGGTGGAGGTGAGAGGCAGGCACAAGCACACCAGACTTCCTAGCTCCTCTTCCGCAGATCAACCTCTGCATTCTCCGTGGGCAACCTCAGTGCCAGCCACAGCACCAGCTCCCCTTCCGCTTCAGGAAGCTGAGTGTGCCTGGCTTTCAGTGTCTGTCACCTCCCACCCACAGCTTCCCAGCAGCCCAAGCAAGGAAAGCCCCCTTCCCTGATGCTGAGGCAGGGTAGATGTGAGTGACAGCCAGCTGCCTGCTGTTGGCAGCAGAGCATCAGGATGGCTTCCTGGTGTGTTCACTCCCAACTCCCTCCATTGACCCAGTTGTCTCTTCTTCTTTGGCCTGGGAGGCTGGGGCCCACCTGTGGGCTGTTCCTCGTTGAGCTCCTACTGTGTGCAGGCACCATACTGGGTGCCTTGTGACTTGGTGTGTGTTTAAAATTGCTTCCCGAAGGGCCCCAAGGAGCAAAACAGATGGTGGCTCTGCCCTGAGCAGCACCAGGGGAGAGGGTCAGGAATGCAAACACCAAAGAGGGAGCACCCCCAGATGGGACAGTTTTGAGAGAACAGGTAAGCAAGTTGCTAAACCCAGATCACAGACAGGTGAGGAGGAATTGCTGAGAATGCAACTGTGCGCTGACAGCTGACAAAGAAGGGAGTTAACATGACAAAAAAGAAATGGAACAGCATAGATGGAGCCCTTATGGTAGAAGGGAAGGCCCAGGCAATTCAAGAGCCGAAAGGTAGCCGATGTAGCAAAAGTCCTGTGGGGGACAGCGAGCTCAGTGTGAGGCAGCAGTGGGCTCTTATAGGCACTTGGTAAATCTCCTGGAATATATTGGGTTGGGTGACTCAGAGGGAATCAGAAGACAGGAATTCTAGCCCTAGTCCTGCGCTAATACTTTGTGACATTGGGCAAGATGCTGCCCTACTCTGGGTCTTTTGATAAATCATATGCCCTCACTTATTCTACTTTGATCCTTGAATGCTGAAAGCCTTTGCCCCAGCTGTTCCCATCACCCCTTCTGCACATCATTCAGACCACAGCATGGACGTCATCTCTCCAGACACTGCTCTGACCACCCACATCGCCCGATTCTCGTTCTCTATATTACATCACCTCACTCTATTTTTGCTGAGCTTATATGCAAATATCGGATGCTCCTGTTGGTTCTTTTGTTTGTCTCTTCTCTGTCTGCCCCTTGCCCCGGAACTCAGTGTCTTCAGGGATTCATGCAATTGAAAGCCAAGTTGCAGAGGCGGCGGGTGAAGGGATACCAGGAATATACTCCCGCCCTGGAATCCAGAGGGCCTGAATTCAAACTGTGTCTACTCCCAGTTAATTTGCACTGAGAACAGGGGCAGACCACTCATACTCTCTGACTCTCTGGGGGTCAGTCTTCTCGATTGCAAAGTAGATCATATAGATTGCAAAGTCCCGGCCAGGTTCTCTCCCACCACTGATGGCAAGTTCTGTTCCCCTCTTGGCCCCCTATTCTAGGAAGTGTGGGTGGTTGGGACTGATGCAGGTCAAGTTCATCTTTTTTTTTTTTTTTTTTTTTTTTTTTTTTTTTTAGCAGTGCTGGGGTTTGAACCCAGAGCCTAAAGCTACAACCCCAGTCCTCCCTCTTGTTTTATAAAACACACACACACAAGAACACAAAAAACATTATTACATGCCTAAGGCATGCAAGTTCATCTTCTTCTGTTGACCCTTTTCTTGTAGCTACTGCCTCAGCATGTTCTTGGCCTATAGGTACCTCTCCAGAAGAGGGACCCTGAGCATCAGGAGGGAGTCATTTCCCAGGGATCAGACAGAAATCTAGTTCCTTGGGGCCCTTCGGGAAGCAATTTTAAACACACACCAAGTCACAAATTGTCTGAAACAAGATCTGTTATGATCTCTCCCATTTCACATATGAGGAAATAAGGATTCTGAGACCCATTAATTTGTCCAGGGTCACCCAGATAGACAGGAGGAGGCTAAGAAGAGACTTTGAACTCAGCCAGGTCTGTCTGACTCATGCTATGGTTCCACCCCCTCACCCCCTCCCAGTCTATTGCTCTGTCCACGCTGCCATTCCTTTGTGAGTATCTGCAGCATTTGCTGGGCAGGGTGGTGGTAGCAGGGCAGTGAACTTATACATTGATTAACTTCACAAATGCTTAGGGCACCTACTGTGTTCCAGGGATCAGATGTATCTATGTTCCCTTCAGTGGGATCCATGAGTATTTGCATATGTAAGGACACATGGGTACACATCCATGCTTGCACATGCTTGGACACATACAGAGATACACCCACGGATCCATACATACACACAAGTATCCTAGACATCAACATCCAGGCTTTAAGATGAGGCACGTTGGAAATATTTATAATTGTGGCTTGGGAGGCTAAGGCAGGAGAATCAAGAGTTCAAAGCCAGCCTCAGCAACTTAGTGAGGTTCTAAGCAACTTAATGAGATCCTGTCTCATGATAAAATATAAAAAAGAGGCTGGGGATGTGGCTCGGTGGTTTTGTACTGGATGCAAACCCCAGTACAAAAAAAAAAAATTGAGGCAAGAAAAATATGCACACAACACACATTAGCACCCATACCCCAGTCCCACACCCACAGTGGCTTACAGCAGTTCACACACTCCAAACTCCCTCCGGCCTCTCTTGCTCCCCTCCCTGGCACCCCTCATCCTCGGAATCTCAAAGGAGACTCATTTAGCTATTAAAAATAACAAGAAGAAAAAATATGAAGTTTTTCCCTGGTCAGAGCCCCTGGGTGGCTGGGGCATGTGACTTCCCTTCTTGGATAAACATAGACCTTCTCGGGGCATGGAGAGACACAGAGACAAGAGCTTTAGAAACCAGCAAGTTTTAAATATATGTTAGAACAATATTAACATTAAATACACATCATAAATATACTTTATAAATATGAAACTGATTAAAAACTGATAAAAGTCAATAAATTAGACATGTTGCTCCAAGGAATCTGCCCAGCAGTTTCTGGGACCCCCTCCAGGAGGGTAATGGTTTCAATATGAGAAAATTCCGTGACCCACCACCAGGGGGAGCAGCCAGCAGCCAGGACCCAAGACTGGGTGCTTCCAGGCACTGGGAGAGAACTCAGCATGCACTCACGCCATGGCCATTTGCACCACATGTCCCAATTTACAAAGAATTTGATGTCCACCCTGTGTCACGAAATCCCAGCAACTGACAGGCAGAGGGGGTTTTATATAGTCCCCTGGCTCCCCAAAGAAAAAACTAAGGTCCTAAGAGGTAAAATGACCCACCCAAGGTCACACAGTGAGTTAGTGGCTGGGCTGGGACCTGAGCACCCTTTCCCTAGACCTCCAGGACACCCCACCCCAGTAACAGCTGCCTAAAGTGAGGTCACCCAGATGTCCAGGTGTCTGGCCTGAGCATTGATGAGGCATCAGAGGTCAGTTCAAGCCCTGACCTCCCTCTCAGAATCCTTCCACCATGAAAAGGAGGAAGTCTGGGGTCAACAGCCCTGCAAGTCATGAGAGGGAAGGGTTGGCTGGCCTCTGGGGATCTGGGGGGAGGGGGGTAGTCAGCCCAGCCATGAGTCAGCTTGTGTCATCAGACCCCTGAATCAATGGAAAGTCGGTCCCGCGTGGCCTGACCTGGCCACCCCACCAGGACTGGGAAACTTGGGGCTGGGGGTGCAATAGCCTGACTCTATCTCCTCAACCCAGAGGAGGCAGGAGCAGCCCAGCCAGCTCCTCTCCTTAAAGTGCACTTCTGTGTCGTGGGGGATGGAGCAGAGCAAGTTTGGTGTCTTGCCATGACACCTCACTTCCAAAGGGAATCCCTGTGTCCTCCATCTGCAAGGTGCGCCCCTTACGCTACCAGGGCAGATGCCCCCGGGGCACAGGCCTCTTGCCCCTCCTGAAGATCCTAGTCTTGAGGACCCCCTTGTGCAGAGCCCGGCGTGGGCTGTGTCTCCGGCTCCTGCTCGGGCTCTCTCCCCACTCCCTGAATACCCACCCCACTGAGCCCATGAAGCGATGGTAGCCACGCAGGAACCTGCAGCCCTCCAGCTTGGCTTGAAAGACACCCAGGGCAGAAGTGAGAGGCAGCCAAGGCCCTGGGCCTGTCGGCATGGGCTCAACAGTCTCAGAGGAGCCATTAAGCAACCAGGACATGCAGTGGATGTTGTTCCTGATGCCTTGTATGTTCCTCTTGGCCGTCTCCAGTTCTTCTAAGTCCTGGGGTTTTAAGAGTTGCTTTTGTAAAGTAACTAGTCCTTTCAGGACTCGGCCCAGGGTGGTATTGACAGTCCACAGGAAGCTTTGCTTGCTCAGTCCCCGAAGTGCATCCTTGCTGGGAAAGGCCCCAGGATGCTCTGTGCAGGATCCTCTCAGGATAGGTGTGTTCAGGTCTTGGTGTTGGATCTGGGGGGAACAGAAGAGTCAGAGAGTGCATGATGGAGTCCCCCTCCCCAGCCCAACCACACACATAGAAGAGCCCACCCTGACTGGCTTTTAAATGCTAAAACTGATTCTCCTCTATCTGATTTTCCCATTGGACAGATGCAAAAACTGTGGGGGACAATAGATTCTGAGATCACCCAGGACAGGGTCAGAGGGCTGTTTGGGGTTGGTGGGGGTGACTGGATGAGGGCGTGTCAGTGGGAAAGGGGGGCTTCAGAAGGGCAGGATCTGTTTTGCTCACTGCTACATCTAGGTGCCTGGAACCAGGCACCTGCCAGGTGTGCAGTGAACACGCTGAACAGGCAGTGGAACCAGGAGTTGGGAGCTAGGGCAATTCAGCTTCTCAGGGTTAGGGCTGGAATAACACTAGGACTCAGTTTCCCCACCCACCCCCGTATTGAGTCGGGGTTATGCTCACTCCCTGGCTAAACCCCACAATTCTCTGAGGCTCAGAAGCCACAAGGGGTGAGGTGCTCACATAGGGTTCCAGAAGTGAGCTGGTGTCCTCTGTGAGGTTCGCTTGCCTCTGGAGCTGGCTGAGGAGCTGCTGGTAAGGACCCGAGCAGCCACGCATGGCTGCTGCAGTGCTCAGGAGCAGAAGTCCGAGGACCAGACCTGAGATGAAGAAGGATGCGGGTCACCTGACTTGAGAGGAAGCCACAGGTGGGAGACTCAGAGAGGGACTCAAGAGAGCCCCAGAAGGTGTATTCTCCCATCCCAGGCTTTGTGCAGACAGGTGGCACTGTGGGGCCACCACCACCTTCCCAGTGAGTCACTAGATCCTAAACAGGGTGGGAAGGGCCAGGATAGCGGCTGCCATTTACCAAGTAGGTGTTTGAGCAGAAGTTGCAGCACCCATCCTTGCTGGAGCTCAGTCCTGCCTACGTCAAGATCCTAACTTCATTTGTGTAATATGAATTGAATTGCATTCTGCTGTCATATATAACAAATTAGAATAACTAAAATTTAAAAATTAAAAAAAAATATATCCTAACCTCAGGAACTAAAAGCAAATGACCAAGTTGGAACTAGCTCTCTGCAAGATCTTGGGGCTAAGGGCTGGCCCCTCTCCAGGACCCAGACTTGTCAGCTACCCTGGACTCCCTGAGGCAGGCTTTAGTCCTCTATTGAGAGGTTTTTGGGGTGGCAGCCCCGGAGCAGCCAGGTGCCCTGTAAACAGAACTAGAAGAAGTGACCTCTCCATCTGAATGGTCAACCAGGAAAGGAGATGGGAGCTCATTTAGTGCATGTGCCCATTTTACTGACAGGTAAACCAAGTCACAAGAGATGGGCTTGTCCAGGACACACAAGGCCAGAGCTTTCCCCAACCTCCCATATATTCCTCCTCTCTCTATAAATGGCCACTTCAGCCTGGCCCACCGGGGATGCTGCAAGCCTGTCAGAAGGCTGCAAGGGGCTGGTGCAGTTATGGCTCGCTGCCCCCACCCCCACAGCACCAGCAGCCACGTGGTCGGAAGGGGCCTATGGCGCAATGGCCCGGAAGACAGTGACACCATCCTTCCCTTCCTACAAACCGTTCAGTCCCTTGGGGAGGACTGGCTGCTGGGGAGGCCTGAGAGGCTGGGCCCTGAGTGTGCCATCCACAGAGTGCCCTCGCCAGCTCCCCAGGTATCCACAGCCAGACTCTGGCTGGGGGTGGGAAGGTCCGTGGTGTGCGGATGATGGTACGCACATGAGACTAGGTGTCTGCAGGGTGTGTGGCAGGGGCCATGTGAGGCTCAAGGAGCACCTGCCCTCTTCACTGGAGCCCTGCTTGCAGGTGAGGCTTCCTGGATAAGGCTCTGGTGATGTCACAGGACTCCCTGTGCCTGCTGTCCTGTGGGTGCGGCTTGTGTGCTGTGTGATTGTCTGGGCTCCAAGGCCCCCGGGACTGGCTGACCTGAGAATTCATCCCAGACCTGGAGAATCAAAGCAGGGCAAGAAGGAGGCCCCATCGGAACACATATTGCCCCACTTCTCTGCCTGGCTAGAAACTTCCTTCCCTTCCCGGAACATCTTCCTCTTTCCTTTTGGTTCCCTGGTCTCTTCCCAATCCATCCTCTTCCCTCAGGCCTTGTTCCCAGAGTTGTCTATTTCACCTTCCCCTAGAAACCCTCCAGGGGTACCCCCTCCACCTGTGGGTATCCTGGGTTCTCAGTGGACCCCTTTCTTTACCTGACCTCTTGGCTCTTTCCTCTCCTCAGCATCCTTCTGCCTGGTGACTGCCCACCCAAGCTCTCAGAGGGCAGAGAGTGCCCCACTACCCGCCAGCGCCCTGGGCACAGCAAGCAGGTGCTGTTACAGAGAAAGGAAGTACTTACTGAGCAGCGTCCTCCTTGTGAGTTGTGCCCGCATGCTGGGTGCCCGTGCTGTGGCCCGCGCCTACCGGGGGTAACACCTCCCTGCTGGGAGCCCTGCAGGCTGCCAGCCACTTTATGCCCGCCGGGGCGATTGGCCAACACCTCGTGAGGTGGGTGGGGAGGGGGTGGGGGGAGGGCAGGCCTTCTGGGAACATGACCCCAAAAACCAAAGTTTCCACAGCGGCCAATGGGCGATGGGTGCTGTGGCATGCCCGCTCCTCCTCCTGTTTTCTTCGAATTCGTTCTTCGAGGTCAGCCCCACGCCCAAGGATGATGCAAACTATAGCCTCAGCCTTCTTTGGGAGAGTGGGAAGCAAGAGGGTCCCTGCCATCTTCAGGAGCCTGGGCTCAGGGTAAGAGGGAGAGGCTGCAAGCCAGACCTGCAGAGGCCCGGGTCCCTCTTCCCAGGAGGCACCAGCCCTGCAGGACACTGAGGTCTGGGGCTGAGGGGAGCAAGACATCTTCCCTGTTGAGTGCCCTTCCCGCCCTCTCGCTGGGGCTGTTGGGACATCTGTGAGCGGAAACCACTGGGCTCTGGGCACAGAGCCAGACCCAGGCTGGCAGCCCCGAGATTGTGGTTCCAGCCCCAGGACTAGCATCCCCCAGCCCAGCACTCCCTGTGTTCAATCCCTCAGCAGGCACCTGCTACCAGCCTCACATCCTAGGTCTCCCACCCACAGGCAGACCCTTCTCTGCAGACAGGGTCCTTTAGGGGAAACTGGACACTTGGAGCAAGATAAAAAGGATATCAGGTTTCAAGCTTTCTGAGCTGCTATGTGGCCTGACATAAGTCACTTAACCTGTCTGGGTCCCAGAAACCCAACCTGAGGAAGTCAAAAGCAAATTTCCCAGCCCACCTCACAGGGCTGCTGCCATCATGGACATAAAAGGCAAAATCTTTTGAAGGAAAAAGAAAAGACGAAACTCTAATTCCAAGTACTAGCTATTGGGGGGGCGGGCAGGATGGGGGAGTGGAGGAGATGGGGAAGCTGTGAGCTCAGAGGGGAAGCCGGGGAGGGGTAGTGGAGCTGCCGTGGTGACAGTTGGAGACCAGGTTTCACTTTCTCTGAAAGATAGCGATCATGGGTTGGTCCTCTGCTTCTTGAAGGCATCTGAACATGACAAGAAAGGCGCCCTGGAGACAATGCCCCTCTAGTCAACCTGCTACTTTACTGTGGGGTAAACTGAGGTCCAGGGCAAGGGTGGACAAGGTGGTTCAGGGACTAGCCAGGGGCCTGCAGGCCATGCCTGGCAGCCCCACACAAGTAACAGGCTTAGAAAGGGGTCAGTTGAGAGGCAGATCTCATAAGGCTGAAGAGCCAGGGTGGGCCCTTGGGGGCTGGCAGAGAGGCCTGGGCTGCAGGCAGCGGGTACATCACTCCTGAAGAGCCCTTCACCGAAAGCCAGTGATGCCAGATAGAGGCCCCTCCGCCTGCTCTCCACCTCTGTAGACAGGCCCCTGCCACCCCTGTATTCAACAGACTTGGCCCTGCTCTGTGCCAGCCACCTCCAGGCGCTGAGGATTCAACAGTAGTCAAAATCAGGCAGTCTCCATGCCCAAGAGGCTGCTCTATACCCCCATCCGCTCCCTGCACAAGGCCCAATACCCCACCGTCACCACCCCCAGGGGCCAGTTCTGGATTCTCATCCTGAGAATTCCGCTTCCACTAAATTCCCCTTCTCATCCACCCCCACAATGCCTGGGGCCCTGGCCAAGTCAGGATCCTTCTCCATTTCACATCCCTGATCTCATCCTGCCACAGTCTCTAGAGGAAGATTCCCTAGCTCGCTTTGATGAGGAGACAGAAGCTCCCAGAAGTCCAGGGGCCTAATCAGGGCAGGAGAGCCAGATGGGGCCACAGAGTTTCATGCCCCTCTCAGCAACTGCTGATCGCCCGCCACACCTGGGGAGTCACACCTCTGCTTTATTCTATTCTGCCCACAGTTCAAGGAGGCCATGTTCCCTCACCAGTTCCAAGACTTCTGAGGTTGCCCAAGGCCACCCTGCAAACAGTTAAGAGGGCATTCAAACCAGGCCTAATTCAAAGGACAACATTCTTAGCATGGGGCTAGACAAAGTGTTGTGCCCAGGCCACAGGGACCAGGGTCACCAAAGGCAAGGACAGCTTATATATTAGTTTGCTGGGCCTACCATAATAGAAATACAGACATCCCAGGGCTTCCACAGGGACTGGTTCTGTCACATCTGAGTTTGTTCAAGTCCCTTATATGGTATAGTATCTGCAGAGAATTTAAGACACATCTTCCCATGTATTTTTGTGGGTGTGTGTATTGGGGACACTGGGGATTGAACCCAGGGGCACTCTGCCAGTCCAGCTATATCCTCAGTCCTTTCTATTTTATTTTTTTAAATCTCGATATAGGATCTTGCTACATTGCTGAGAGCCTCAATAAGTTGCTAAGGCTGGCCCCGAACTTGCAATCCTTCTGCCTCAGCCTCCCGACTCACTGGAACTGGAAGTGTGCAGCCACCATGTATGGCTCCCCTATGCTTTAAGTCATCTCTAGATGACTTTTAATACCACAAAGCAAATGCTTAGTAAACAGTTCTTAGACTATATTATTCAGGGAATAATGACAGGAAGAAAAATGTACATGTTCAGCACAGACAAAACCATCAGAGGCCTAACCACATTGCCATCTGCAGGTAGTTGAATCTAATGATGTGGAACCTCCCGATACAGAGAGCCAACTCTGTTACAGGCAAGGTGGCTTAGACAACAGAAATTTATTAGCTCACAGCTCAGCTCTGGAGGCTAGAAATCTGAACTCAAGGTGACAGTAGGTTGTTCCTTCTTGGGTCTCTCTCCTTGGCTTGTAGATGGTCATTTCCTCCCTCCCTCCCTCCCTCCCTCCCTCCCCCCCTCCTCTCTCTCTCTCTCTCTCTCTCTTTTTCTGTACTGGGATTGAACTCAGAGGTGATTTACCACTGGTCCACATCCCCAGCCCTTTTTTACTTTTTTGAGACAGGGTCTAAATTGCTGAGGCTGACCTCGAACTTACAATCCTCCTGCCTCGGCCTCCCAAATTGCTGGGATTACACATGTGTGCCACCATACCTGGCTCTGTCTTCTTGTCTTCTTACCTGGTCACCTATTGGTCTGTGTTGTTGGTGTCCTAATCTCCTCTTTTATAAAAACACCAGTCATATCAGTGTAGAGCCCACCAATGGCCTCATTTTACCTCAATTACCTCTTCAAAAGCTTTATGTCTAAATATAGTCGCATTCTGAGATCATGTGAATGAGGATTTTAGA